GCACAGTGATTGCTGGACATGGGAACCAGCGACCCCCCGTGACCCAAAATGGAAGAAACGGGTAAAAGATAATAGATGGATGGATATATATTATATCTATATCTATATCTATATCTATATCTATATATATATATATATATATATATATATATATATATGTATATATGTATGTGTATATATCGATGTATGTATGTATTCATGTATGTATGTATGTATGCATGTATATATGTATGTATATATGTATATATCGATGTATATATGTATATATATGTATGTATGCATGTATGTATGTATGTATGCATGTATATATATGTATGTATGTATATATGTATGCATGTATGTATGTACAGGTATGCATGTATATATGTATGCATGTATGTATGTGTGTATGTATGTATGTATGTATGTATGTATGTATGTGTGTATATATGTATGTGTGTATGTATATATGCATGTTTGTATGTGTGTATGTATGTATGTATATATGTATGTTTGCATGTATGTATGTATATATGTATGTGTGTATATATGTATGTATGTATGTGTGTATATATGTATGTATGTTTGTATGCATGTATGTATGTGTGTATATATGTATATGTGTATGTATGTATGTATGTATATATGCATGTTTGTATGTGTGTATGTATGTATGTATGCATATATGTATGTGTGTATGTATGTATGTATGTATATATGTATGTGTGTATATACTTCCGGTACTTCCGGTAAGATGGCGCCCGTATCCATGGCTTGCAATCCACCTCTGCTGATGGTGTTCGGATTATTTTTGTTTTTTGCATTTCACATCTGTGACATCAACTCTCTGCTGGTGTATGACAGACAACAACTTTTGGATCTTCGTTTTTCTGTCACTGAAGTCGCTTATTTTGACCATTATCAGCGTAACCCGCGGAACACCCCCCTCACACCCCCCCGCTGGCGGACATGCCAGCTTACCTTCGCTGCGCTCCTCACCTGCCTGCCCAGAGATCTCGCTTCAGACGCCGGAGAAAACGTGCTGGTCAGCTGGTGAAGCTGAAAGCTCTGCGAGCTGCATCTTCCTCTTCAGCTGGCGGTCATGGTCTCCGGCTTCCCACGTGCCTGGACCAGGTAACCAGCGGGAGTTGTCAGCCGTTGCGCAGCTCGGACCGACCTGGAGGGGCTGTTGTTGAAAACCTGCGGCCATTAGCGCGCGCTAACTCCACCGCTGCTAGCGCCACTTTGGACAATATCCGAATGTGTTTGGTCAACGCAAGATCTGTTACCAACAAAACTTTTATCCTCAGGGATTACTTTCAAGAGCACGATTTGGACTTTCTGTGTATCACAGAGATTTGGATGTCTCCGGGTGAGTCCAGCGCCTTGATGGAATTATTGCCACCGAACTGTCTGTGTTTTAACGCCCCGCGGCCATCAGGCCGGCGCAGTGGTGGATTATTAACAATATTCAAATCAACTTTTGACTGTAAACAACTGCCCATCCCAGTTTCCCGCGCCAGCTTTGAGCTGAGCGTCTTTGAACTCGGACATTCACCGCCGACGTTATTTGCACTTGTCTACCGCCCACCTCGATCTAAGGATTTCATAAATGAGTTTTCTGACTTCTTGGCTGAAATCACACCAAAATATGAGCATGTTTTCATTATTGGTGACTTTAATTTGCACGTGTGCTGTCCTGAGAAGCCCTTGGTTAAGGACTTTTTAGATTTATTGGACTCATTTAATTTAACTCAGCATGTAAACTGTCCCACCCAAGAGTGTGGACATACACTGGACCTTGTTTTAACTCATGATATGACTGTTAATAATCTTGTTATTGGTGTTAATGTTTTTTCAGACCACATTTCAGTCCGGTTTGAGTTCACCCTCCCCCATCTAACTCCTAAGTCGTGCATTTCTGCTCGTCGCAGCCGGACCATTAACCACTTCACTGCCACACATTTCACAGATGTTTATAACTCTGAAATGATAATTCAGGCCCCAGTGTTTCTCACCACCACTGAGGAGCTGCCATCCTAGTTCAACTCTGTCTGCTTAAAGACTCTGGATCATGTTGCACCTGTTAAAACCAAAAAATCAAAACTCAGAGCAGAACCTTGGCTGAGTGACATCACCAAGGCCGTTAGGCAGCAATGTAGGAGGGCGGAACGAAAGTGGAGGAAAGACAGGCTGCAGGTCTCTTTCCAGATACTTAAAGAGAGTTGGCGCTGTTATCAGAAAACAGTAAAAGCTGCTAAATCAAATTCTTCTCTGATATAATTACCTCAAACTCTCACAACCCACGTGTCCTCTTCTCCACCCTAAACTCTGTTCTCCACCTCACTGAACCATCACCTCTGGAAGCCTCGGCTGAGATGTGCGACAACTTCTTACATTTCTTTTTGGAAAAAATTGCAAACACCAGGGCTCTCATTTCCCCTCCAACTCATGACCCATCCATCCCACCTCAATCTGAAGCTCCTTTTGACCATTTTGAACCCATCACTCTATCTTCTCTAGAGCAGGTCATGTGCAACTTGAAACTTTCTGGCTCCCCCGTTGATGTGGTCCCCCCTCGACTACTAAAGGAGGTTTTTCCTACTCTAGGTCCGTCCATTCTTGTCATAGTAAACAGTAGTTTAGCCACTGGCGTGGTGCCAAAATCCTTTAAACATGCTGCCGTCGAGCCTCTCCTGAAAAAACCAAACCTTGACCCCTCAGTCGTTTCCAACTACCGGCCTGTCTCCAAACTCCCATTTGTTTCTAAAGTACTGGAGAAAATAGTCGAGTCCCAGTTGAAGTGCTTCCTGGAGAATCACGCCATTTTAGAGCTTTTCCAATCTGGCTTTAAACCTCTCCACAGCACTGAAACTGCCCTGCTGAAGGTTTTTAACGACATCTTCAGATTCACAGATACAGGTGATTCTGTACTGCTTGTCCTGTTGGACTTCACAGCCGCCTTTGACATCAACCATGAGATCCTCATTGCTAGGTTGGAGCAGTGGGTGGGCGTCACAGGATCAGCCCTCAATTGGTTCAGATCTTACCTCACTGACAGATCATTTTGTGTCTCCATCAAGGATTATAGTTTCGCAGAGGCAGAGCTTAAATGGGGGGTTCCGCAGGTGTCCATACTGGGTCCCCTCCTATTCTCTTTATACCTGCTGCCGCTTGGTGCTATTTTCCGGAAACACAACATGCCCCTTCACTTCTATGCCGATGACTGTCAAATTTACTTCCCCCTAAGACACAATGGTACATGCTCTATTCAACCGCTGCTCAATTGCCTGGCTGACATCAGGGACTGGATGGCTTTAAATTTCTTAAGTTTCAATGAAAAGAAGTCTGAAGTCATGTTGTTCCCTCCCAACGACACGATCACAATCCACTGCATCGACCTTTCCGCTCTAACCCTGTCAGAAAAACAGAGTCACTAATCTGGGCGTGATAATAATAATAATAATAATAATAATAATAATAATAATGAATTTAATTTGTAACGCACTTTTCATTAACAAAAATCTCAAAGTGCTACAGAGTGCAACTAAAATCAATGATAAAATCAACTAAAATCAGCAATAAAATCAACTAAAATAATATATGAAACTGAAACTTAACAATCATGTAAACATGATTGTTAAATCATGCTTCTTCCAACTGAGGCGGCTGTCTAAACTGAAGCCCATATTGTCCAAAAAGAACCTGGAGACAGTAATACATGCATTCATTAAATCTAGGCTTGATTACTGCAATTCACTCCTGTTTGGTATCAGTCAGACCTCCATTGCACGACTACAACTGTTCCAGAATTCAGCAGCCCGATTTTTAACCAGTACAGACAAAAGAGAGCACATTACACCAGTTTTGGCCTCACTGCACTGGTTACCGGTTCACTTTCGAATCCAGTTCAAAATACTCATGTATGTCTACAAA